ACGGCTGCGGTGTCTTGGAGTCACACGATCCCCTTTTGTGACCTGACAAAGTCGGATTCTCTTAACAAACCCGTTACTAACTTAACAACTGCAGAGATTCACTTCACAATTTGCGGCAAGAATGGCGGTGAAAAACGGGGCAAAAATCCCCTTAACAAGTGTCTCACTTAGCGACGGAACTTTTGGGCTCCCTTGTGGTCGTACGTCGAGGACTACCTGTACAGAAGGGCAGAGGCGGGAGAAGCTGCCCTTAAGGACTATCGTTATCGTACAATATTCCCGCTCAATGGTTGCTGAGATTGGAAGCTTTCTGATCCAGGAAGTGTGGGCAGGGAAGATATACATAACCCTGTTTGCCTAGAGCAAAATATAGTTTCAGTTATTAAATATGAGTACGAGGGAAGAAGTAGCATCTTTCAGGCTAGGAACAGGCTAGAGTCGTGATGGTGAACTCATGACATGTGCCAGAGGTGGCATACAGAGCTTTCTCTGTGGGCATGCGCACCATTGCCAGCTGCTCTTCCAGATTCTGTCGCATGCATGGACACTAGCCAGCTGCTTTCTTCCAGGTTCCGGCGCTCCGGTATGCATACATGCTCGCACCAGTTTCGGCACTTGATGCCGAAAAGGTTTTAACCATCACTGGCAAGGCGTTCCTCTTTAGCCAAATATATCCCGTACACTCAGAGTAATTGTTTCATAAACTACGGTTTCCTAAGACTGGATCTTCGTTGTTGTTCTTGTGTGAGATTTCCCACCATCTCAGCAATAGCTTTAGTGTAATTAGCAAGCTTGAGGCTATTCTAGTATTTGAATGAGGCATGGAAGTCCGTCTATACAAATTCCCCTCTCTTGCCCACCCTTTGCGGTGCCCGTTGGCCAGCCTAGCAATACTGAACATTTGGTCTTGCTCAGCTATGCCTTTTGACTCCAGCTTACACGTCCTTATTTACATAGGCAGCAGTACCACGTAAAAATGGGATTCGTTTCCTGAGTCTGCATTTGAACATTCAAGATGAGTGAAAGGTTGAATTGGAGAAGAAGAAGAAGCATTTTCCGTACGTCCAATTAATTCAGGACCACAGTGATCCACGAATCAATCATGAGGCGGCCAAGGTGGCTTCATAGAAAGGAGATGAGATGAGAGGAGACCATTAAAAAAGAAAATATCTGTGGCCCTCAACCTGCTAGCAAGTCAGAGAATCTGTTCGTAATCGAAACAGATCAAACCAAAGTAGACTCATTTGGCTAAGGAATGTTGGTTGTTCAAGCTGGAGGCTTATTTACAGTATCTTCTCTCTTATGTACAGCAACAAAATATATTACACCTTAGAGGAGCCACCATTCCTCTCATCCTTGTTCTCTGGAGGACATTTCGAAAGAGGAGATGCTTCCTCAGAGTTTCATTTTCTTGACCACAGGAACGGGCAGCGCTTGGAAGATTCTCACGGCGTCCTCATCGGTCTCCAGCTTGATCCAGAAAGGCCGGAAGCTGCCCTTGTAGCCAACGAAAGCCATCTTATCTTTAAATAAATAAATAAGAGCGTGCGGTGAGAAAAACGATCCGGGGACAATATTTATAACCAATACTCTGCAGAGAGTGTATTTCAGCACCATCAGAGGCCATTTCCATGAATCATCATCATCTTTTAATAATCCTTGCCCCGGGGGAGGGGGGAATCTCGGCAACTAAATGGAACTGAGTGCTTACTGGCCAGATGCCTTTCCTGTTGCCAATGTGAAGTTTTGTTCAGCAGATATATTCTCATTGTGCGCAGAGAGAGAGAGAGAAATATCTGCCTCTACCTAGGATTGCACTCACAGGCTCCTGATTGTGGGGCGAGAGCTCCACCAGTAGGCTACTGCACCACTCAGAGGCCGTTTCCGTGAATGCTACACCTTCAACCCACAACATCTTTTCCTGAGAAGATTCATGTTGCTTTCTCTTTCTTTGTCCTCTCAAGAACATTTTAGAGATCATAACCCAAAGCATCAAATAGCCAGTTCTCCAAAAAGAGTTGGTTAATTATTATTATTATTATTTTTTGAAAATTGAAGATGGTTGAGCTTGATGTTCCTTTTGATCCTGTCCATCTCCACAGTTCTATAATAGTATGAACAGCCCTTTCCCCCCAGTTTAATAGGTATTAAGATTTTTTTTTTTAATTGAGTGGATTGAATAATAGCAAACTAGGAATTGAAAAAGTTGCCATTCTGCATTTGGTAATAACAGAATTTCTGGGAATGTTCGAAGTATGAAGAACCCAATTATTTTAAATCCAGTTCTCTCTCCGGCTACCACATTGGGACAGATGGAACTTATGTGTGGAATACTTAAAGATACCTCTCAAATACATTTTATGTTCAGTAAACACTGTGCAATATTTCTAAGGACTTTTCCAAATCTCAACACCCAAGTTTACTTTCCTGATGCAAAATCCTTACTATTCTTGGCTGGTTTAGAATCCAAGATTTCTAAACTGATTGTATTTGAAGTGCAGCTGAATTGTATAACTAATATCCATCCTTTGGTGAGGTGGGAGTGCCTTTGAGTCTGTCTTGATTCCCTGGTAAGATGCCAAGGTAAGTTTGTGGCAAGAATTCAGAAGTAGTTTGCCATTGCCTCCATGCTTGGGCTGAGAGAGACTGACTGGCCCAAGGTCACCCAGCTAACATCATGCCTAAGGTGGGATTGGACTTCACAGGCTGGTTTCTAGCCTGCTGCTTTAACCACTACAGAAAACTGGCTCTCCATGTGTGGTAGCGCAGTGGTTAGAATGCAGTATTGCAGGCTAATTCTGCCCACTGCCAGCAGTTCGATCTTGACAGGCTTAAGGTTGATTCAGTCTTCCATTCTTCCGAGGTGGGTAAAATGAGGACCCAGATTATTGGGAGCAAGATACTGACTCGGTAAACCACTTAGAGCACTGTGAAGTGGTATATAAGTGCTATTGCTCCATGTTTATTATACTAAAAGACATTACTGAATTTTTGGCTGGAAAAGGGAAGGCCAAAAACTGAGTTACAGAAAGGGCCTCTCCTCTCCAAAGCTTCATCTCAAGGCACTTGCATTAAGGATTTCAACAGTTTACCAAAATGAAATATTTAGAGTATTTTTAGATATAAAAACCAGATGGACAATTCTCAAGGGTTTTACCATGTCTTTTCTTTTACTATCCTTCTATGTGAAAAGACATTGGGCAGTAAAAATTACGATCTGAAAAGAAAGGTGCAGCCATTGGACAGCAAAACCTGCTCTGAAAGTGTGTTCTTCACAAAATTAGCCATAATAAAAGCATGTCACATTTCATATGATATTTCATGATATTAATAATGCATTTACCTTTCAATTTAAAACCGGGTTTTGCTCCAAGGGTCTCCAGCACTTTGGTCCACGGACTTCTTGAAACAAATCTTCCCTTTGAGGTCATTACCACGATAGAACTAGAAGAGAGCAGGGAAATTACATGCATCATTTCCTTGAATTAGTGATTCACCCAAACTGATTAGCAGAGCAGCCGCACTGCAGTCATCATCATAAGATATCCACAGAATTTCTCCAATCAGCGCAAATTTGCTCCATAGACCTATTTAATCTAATCAATTTACGTATGGTTTGATCATGGACGTTTCTTTTGTTTTTTAAAAGTTTATTTTTTATTTTTGGACAGACATAGACAAAACATAAACCACAAGAATATCTTCAATTACATACAGAGTGTTGATTGGTTGCAAGATTTTTGTGCATCCTTTCAATAGTTCTCACTTATAATTTATATGAAATCACATATTATCAATCAAATGAGAGGAGACAAGCAATTTAGAAATGAGGCGAAATTTCCTGACAGTTAGAACAATTAATCAGTGGAACAGAAGTTGCCTCCAGAAGTTGTG